CAGTTCGGCGGATTCATGTCTTTCGGCACGAAACATACATTTTGGCTTTTATACCATTCTAAAATGTCCTTTGCGTAATGACATGACGCCAAATCAGGCCAAAATACTACTTGACCTTCGTGCTGCCTGATCTTCGGCAACAATCGCTTCTGGAGACATTCCTTAACGTATTTCTGAGTGTTCATCGTCTCCGTTGTGATGTACGGACTAGGTGTTTTACCACACTCGCATATTGCCTGCCAAACCATAACCTTCTTTCCGAATTTTTCGGTAAAAATTGCCTTCTCCGTTTCGGGGATGTCCTTGCCTTCACTTACAGTATAGAATTGTGGTCCGGGAAGCGTTTTGTAATCTAGTTTCACGTACGTTTCGTCGTCCATTATTATACACCCAGAATTTCGATACAATAACGAATCGTAGAGTTTGCGGGCCCGTGGTTTCACAGGAAACATAAACACAAAACTGAGCACTTTTTTGATGCTATGTCATTCAGAAATGAGCAAACAAAAGGACGCAGCCAAAATATGTTGAAATATTTCATTATATTCAAAGTGACCGTTAAAATAAGGTGTGCTTATACTTTCTGGAACAGTCTATAGAACTATGGCAATGATGCCATTCACAATGATGGTGGGACCTTCCTCGATCATTAATTTGTTATCTCAGAATTCTAGATAGAGCGGAATTAGGGCCTAACAGCTTTTGTAAACAATGACTTTTCTTGGTGATTTCTAGAAATTCAAGGCTCCCCACGCAAACCAACATCCTCATCGGGTAGAGAAAGACTTCCCCTAATCGATAAGGATGTTGGTTTGCATGGGTGAGCCTTGAATTTCTAGAAATCTTCAAGAGAAGTCATTGTTTACAAAAGCTGTTAGGCCCTAATTCCAGCTCTATCTAGAATTATCTTCAACCTTTCCTAAACCCTTTAGTGATGCATTTATGGGCATTCGTAAAATGCATGCCCGTTCTGCATGGCTTTGGCACCTGGCCACAACGGGGGGAGTTAAGTTGTGACACTCGGCATCTTGGCACAGTACTCGCTGACCATTTGAATGCCACTGTCCAATCCGACACTGTTGTTATCATTCTCTGGAAGGGGTTGGTCGATTCCAAGAATTGTTAAAGCATACATAGGATCACTAACCGGTGGTTTCATGTTCTGACAACATCTAAAATGGGAATATATTCTTTATCAATACGTACCGTTAGGAATTGTGGTTCTTCAACCTTTGGTTTTCATTTTCTCCAACATTAGATCCTGCTACCGTTTCCGTTGGATCGTGATGTATCTTTCTTCTTTCTGAATCCTTGAATTTTCAGCAGCTTTCGAATGACGGTAGTTCACTCAATGGAGGTGAAAGCCGCCAATTCCTTATAATTGATTGCTTCCAACAGGCAAAGTTAACAATATTTCGGTTCATCGTAAACACGTAAAAGTTACTTTCACTAGGTATCGATCCGAGATTCAATCCTCTACTTGATCCACCATGACAAGTTTTTCGATTTGGAGTTGGAAAACCACCGGCTTGCTGTGATTAGGATAAAAATTGCCGTGAAATTTTGTAGAGCAAAACAAAAACAAAAACGAGTTACGGTGTTATGATTATTCGTTCGGTGACATTAGTTCACACTCACAGTGATTGTAAATGAGCAGTATCACTTACACTTGTGCTTCAAAGTTCCACCTTTGATTGTCAGAAGCGCTGTTATCAGTGACGTTTGACATTTGTATGGGAGAAGGGAACAGTTGCCAGTCTTCTTGATTTGTAGTCTTCCAAGCCAAGTCTACCTATCGAACTGTCAAACCAGCTACCTATCGTGCAAAGTAAATAAACATTACGATGCTATGAAAGATCCACGAAAGGTATTGCAATAAAATATAAAATATAATCGAAGAAATGATAATAAACATGCAGCGAGCATTCAATTGTCATGGGATACATTTGGTAATGATCAGTAATGAGAATTTCTACTATTTTTTGTTAAGATAATTTGACAAAATCACTGATACAATGATTTACTACTGCCGCTATTATTTTTTCTCGCTAGAAGTCATTTGAAGTTGATGTAGAAGTCCTCTGTTGCCAAGTTAAAATAAAGGGAATCTTTCGAAAACCGTGATGCGAGTTCAACTGTTTTTCTCTTGGCGTGACTCATTATACACCGACTCTAGTGAAAATGACCTCACAAGCCTCAAAGCAGTACTTATGAACCACCAATCTTAACCTGGCTCTTTTCCAACCAGCTGTGCTCACTACTGTTGATAACTTACTTTAGGCCTGATCCTAAGGTCGGTCGAAGGAAAAGAAAAAAAGTTGTAATCGTTCTTCCCCCTCCTTCGTCTAACGCAAGTCTCGGCGCTCATTTTGAGCAGACCAAAGGGAAATTTTCCCGAAAGAGACTCAATAATAATTGATTAATACCCATTGAAGGTGCGCAATCAAGTGTTATGATTAAAATGGCTTGTCCCGCGGCGAAACATAAAAGAAACGATGATTATGCCGGGGGAGCGACCGACCGCAGACCGACGAAAAAGTTGCTCATTGCATAATTTCACAGCTCCTACGAGAAATTCGAACTTTTATCGATTTCCACGTGCGGCAACGGCGCAAGGAAGACGGCCCACGCTTTCATTTTCATCCAGATGGTCGTCCCGTGGTGACGGTCACGGTCGTGGCTATTACCACCGCCGCCATCGTAGCAAATCGATGTAATTTGCATTAAATTTTCATGCCAAATTACTTCTTTCCGGCTCGCGGAGTGAAGACATTTTTTGTTCATCATCATCGTCAGCGTCAACCGAGGACTCCCTCGAGTTTGTGCGGACGCAGTAATTCCTGAAAAAAAAACGAAAGAAATAGAAATTAAGTGGGTGTATCAACTGAATGTTTGAATGATTTTCTATTAGCGTGTGACAGTTGTCAAGACCGAAGTGTTGCCAAATCATTCTCAAAGAGAAAGTCAATGAAGAAAATTTATATGAATGTTACTTAGGCTCTGAACCATTTGGTGGATTATTTTAACTTTTGGTTAAAATTTGACAGATGAAAAGTTATCGATTAACCCTGCTATCCGAGCATGGTTATTTCTGACAGACAAGAAGTTAAATTTTGACAACCGTGGCTCGAAAACCGGTCGATCGACAGCACGGGGATTTTCGAACATAGAAAATAACTTTCGAAATGTCACTTTTAACCACGAGTTAAATTTAACTCGGCAAATGGTTCACAGCCTTAGGTAAAGAGCCTGAATTTATAAAGAGACGACATGTTAAAATTGGAACATTCGATTGTCTGTCAAAGTCATAGGAAAAGTCATTCCAATCGAGCAGAAGACCTGTCAAATAGATAAGATGTCGCCTCTTTATAAATTCAGGCTCTTTACCTTAGGCTGTGTTCCATTTGGTGAATTTTCACTTAAATTTGACAGATGGAAAATTTTCAAATAAACCTGCTATCCCAGCAGACTTATTTCTGACAGACAAGGAATCAACTTTGACAGACGCTTTCTCGAAAATCGGCCGATCAACAACAGAGGGATTTTCGAACATCTTAATTTATTTTCGAAGTGTCAAATTTAAGTGAAAAATTTCCAAATGGAACACAGCCTTAGGCTGTGTTCCATTTGGCGAATTTTCACTTAAACTTGACAGATGGAAAATTTCCAAATTAACCTGCTATTCCAGCAGACTTATATCTGACAGACAAGGAATCAATTTTGACACACACCTTCTCGAAAATTGGCCGATCAACAACAGAGGGATTTTCGAACATTATAATTTAGTTTCGAAGTGTCAAATTTAAGTGAAAATTCACCAAATGGACCACAGCCTTAGTATCTAATGCATTATTCAGTTTGATTTTTTTTAAACGTAGTGCTGTAACAGGTTGTATTGGCTATCAAAACCAACTGAAAACGCACCGAGAAATGTTTTAATCCAAGTGAGTTATTGACAGAAGAGAATCGATCATCGCAATTAGGCCCTAACGAACACTCATCGCATCAACTAAATTTCATCAAAATCGATGAAAACCCAACTGCCAGGAAAACATCCCGACTTCGCTTAATTTGAATGGGTATACCTTTTGCACAAAACCCATCGTCGGCGTCATAAATATATCGTAAATAAAGAGTTACATGTCGAACGAACATACAGCTGCAAGAGTTATTTCCCTTGATGTCATCCGTCTCTGCTGATCCAGCACATCCCCCTCTGCCTCACAGAATCCAAAAACCGAAATGTTCCCATTCATCTTCCATTATACAATGTGGGACGTATCAACTTTGTGACCAACGAGTCCCGCGCCCCCTAACCGCCTCTCTGCACCAATGCAACACAAATGAAAAGCCATTTCAAAAATCTAATTCATTTATGGCATTTGGCAAACAGTCACATCTTCATCGACATTTCAAAAGGGCGAAATTTCTTTCTTTTTTACATTGGCTTTAGTCGCCAGTTTCTTGCGAATGAACGCTCACACATACACAGGTAGAGGAATGTTTCCTCTACCAACTGACATCGGTTAATTTGCAGCTTTTATTTCTGATAAAGTCATTGTTTACAAAAGCAGTTTCGCCCTAATGCAATGTTGGCAGCGGTATGGTACCGCCGCAGCTCAATCCCAATACAAAAGGGCAGCAGAAATGTGTGTGTGTGTGTTGTTTAGGCGGAGGATGTTCGGGTTTTACGGGTCGGGTCGGGTCGTATCGTATATATCGTTATGGTTCCCCAGGGAGGGGGCAGGGATTCCGAGGCCCATAACTCGAGGAGAATTATATGTCCTAGTTTGGAAGCGATACAATTTTAAAACATCCATCAATGGTCGTTGAGCGAGGCTTGCATTGCTGTGCGAAATCTAGGTTAGATTAGGTTAGTTGTTTCGGATGAAGGGGGGCAGTCACGTCACGAACTGCAAATTGGTTGCAATTAATCTGGACGCTAATAATTATGCGATTATTAAAACCGCCTCCCCCGTTTCTCTCTTTGTCGTTTCCAGCACGATCCGGAACAGTGTACACCAGGTGGCGAGGATGGCAACTTCATTATGTTCGCCCGGGCCACGTCCGGCGACAAGCGGAACAACAACCGGTTCAGTCCCTGCTCGCTGAAGGCGATAGAGCCGGTCCTGAATGCCAAAGCACGCAGCGCCAAGGGGTGCTTCACTGGTAGGGTTTTCTTTTTAAATTAGGTGGCCTAGCTTACTAGCGTGACGGCATTCTAACCGCACTTTTTTTTATTCCGCAGAACCACAAGCTTCCATCTGCGGGAACGGGGTGGTGGAACCGGGCGAGCAGTGCGACTGCGGCTGGGAGGAGGACTGCAAGGATTCTTGCTGCTACCCGATGTCCCGGAACGGGAGGTACGGCAAGAATGCGTGCACGCTAACACCGAAGTAAGTATATCGGACGGGGATCGTTCATGGGCCGGTTAGAGCGGATGGCCTTGAGTCAAATTTTTGGTGACTCTCCCTATAAATGCCGAAATCATCCAAGAAGGCGAACAACACTGATATATAATTCTCGAGCAAAAAGTCAAAACGTCGTAATTAGTGACTTCATACGTCAATTGTCGAAAGTGCTAGTTCGTCAACACAAACTAACGCCACCAACAAGAAGGTTCTAGTAACATCCGGACATTTTCCAGATACCATCCGGGAAAGTGACCAGTTTCTGACTTGGAAGAGAGCCTATAACGCGACACCTCAAATCACTTAAGAATTCGATGGTGGTAGATATATCGAGTTTCCTGGAACATATTGGTCAACATCCGGCTATGTTCCGGGAACCCCTAGGGAAGTGGCCAATTTCCGACTTGAACCAAAACCCATCAAGCGACACCTCAAATCACTTGAGAATTCTGAAACAAGTTTATTAGTAGCCATATCGAGTGCCTAGGACCACGTTGGCCACCCCCGGACATATTCCAGGCAGCACCAGGAAAGGGGGCAGTTTCTGACTAGGGCCAAAACCCATCATGCGACACCTCAAATCACTTGAGAATTCTGAAACAAGTTTAATGGTGGTAGCCATATCGAATGAATCGTAATGACATGAACCGTATTGACTCATGTAGGCCGTAGTTCGCAGCCGGGGTCCGATATGAAGGAAATTCATATTTCGAAGAACTCGCTCAGGAGCGTAGGTTTCTAATTCGGCCAACATTCTGAAAGAGTCGGTTTCGCCTAGTAACACTTTTGCCGTAGATACTGCCTGGATAACTATTCGCCTATGTTCTAGGGTTTCAAGATCCCGGAGTAGACAACGATCGGCATATGGTGAAAGGTGACGAAGGGCGTATCGAACGAGTTTCGTTTGAACAGATTCAATCCTCGCTTGATACGGGCACACGCAGAGAAATGATTCTTAAATTCAAATGGATATATTTTTGGCTCAGGGCCTAATATATTTTTGGCATAGATTCAAATATATTATTCGGTTAATTCAAAGAAAAATATTTTTGAATCAACAAACCGGTTGTAGAGTTAATAATCTGTTTGTTGATTCTAAAAACTATTTTGTTGATTCAAAAATATGTATTGTTGAAATAGTGATACAATATGCTTGAATCAAGAACAAAATACATTAGGCCCTGAAACAAAAATCCATTTTTCTGCGTGCACCATATCACTACGCCAAATTCCAGTGTAGATCGCACGCAAGAGCAGTATAGAGCTTTTAGGCAGCCAGGATCACGAAACTCTTCGGAGATCTTGAATGTGAAACAGAGTTGTCTATTGCTTTAGCAATTATGTCCGAGTAATGTTGCTTAAATGTTAAAGCCTCAGTGTAAAGCGTAATTCCAAGGTCACGAACTGTGTCCAAGTACTGCAGAGGTTGGTTGTCGATCCTATAATGAAATGCTATTGGGTTCGAGTTGCGATGGAATGTGATAATATAGCAACACAAGGTCAGAAAATTCCTAGAGCACCAATCGTCAAAGTAATCGATCAGGTGTTGCAGTTGCAAGCAATCCGCGAAGCATCGCACGACCACGTAAATCTTGACATCGTCTGCATAAAACGACCGGCAGCCAATTGGCAGGATCAATCCAATCTCGTTTATGAAAATCGAAAATAGTTTCGGTCCCAAGGGGCTATCTTGAGGAAAGCAATTTTCACACAGAGTTTTCTATTGGTAAGGTAGGATTTAAACCAACGAATGAAGCCATCTGACACGCCAAGCGTATCAAGCTTTGCTAACACTATGGCGTGGTCAACTCGGTCAATAGCAGCTTTTAGATCCGAGCACACAGCGTCTACCTGTGATCCTGCTTCCATATTTCGTAGGCACGAGGAAATCTAGACCAACAATTGAAATAAGTGGCACAACCAAACGTAAACAATGGCTTTAAACGCGAAGTCCTCGAGAATCAAAGCACATCCAAGCAACCTAACACCATCATCTGATAGAGCAAACTTCCTTTATCGAATGGCATTGTTAGTTTACATGGGAGTGTTTTGATTCTCGAGAATTTTGTGATGGAACCTATTGAAATTGTTGGTCTAGAAATTAAAGGAGCAAGGTTTTTTGAGATCGACCTCTTGGGGTGAAAACCATGTTGGTCCGGAGAAATGTAGCTTCTGCTGGTAGAAAATAAGGCATCGTTATCATCGATGATCTCAAAGTGATGTGATCCCTCGGTAATGTATAGCCTTTCGTTTGTCTCCTTTATTGAAAATCGGGAACATGAACGAAGCATTCCAGTCGGTTGGAAACTCACCCTGCTGCAGCGAAATATTGAACAACTTTGATAAAGGAATGATGAGTTCAGTTGAGAATTTCTTCAGTACGCAAAAAGGGGTTCGATTAGGACCAATAGCATTGAAGAATTTCACCTTCCTAATCGACGTATTCAAGAGTAACCGTGAAAATGTTGAAGTTAAGCACATCGCTGGGAGTATCTCTGATAGCTTCATCAACTTCGGTCGACGTTGAGCACGTTCCTAAAATGTTCAGCCAGAAGATTGCATTTCTCCAGTGACGTGTGAGCGCGTGTTCGTCTTTACTAACGTCCAAAATAGTTTTGAATTGCGGTGAAGATTATCTTGCATGGCGTCTTGAATAGCGTTTATAAAGAAATCGGTTATACATTGGGTATTCCTTGCTGGCTACGGATAACGAACGCTTGGTGAACAGGTTGTGAGCTTGGCAGTATTTTCTAAGAGCTTTAGATCTTAAGCGCTTCAGATGCCGTAATCGAGCATTGCCCCACGGTGGTTTTGAAACAGGTCAGGCGTAACGAGACACAATTGGCTATTGCATGGTTCAAAATCTAATTAAAATAGTTTACAGCTGCGTCAATAGGCGGAGACGAATCAATGATCTGACAGTCTGCCTTGCGAAAATCCAGACCCTGAACATTCATAAGGGCCTAACTGCGATGATCGATTATCTTCATCGATTTTCTCTTTAAATTGCTACAGCTAAGGGAAGCAATTTTCTGAAATTTGTCCAATACAGTGCTGTAACAAGTTGTATTGGCTATCAACAGGCAACAATAAGCGAACCGAGAAATGTTAATCCAAGCGAGTTATTAGCAAAAGAGAAAGGTTACGCCCTTATGCATGCTCACAGTCGAATTTTCGCAGAGAAAGGAAACCGACAGATTGATAAGAGTTTCTACAGTGGTAAACGGCTCCGAAGCTTCAAAAACGGAGCACTCTGGGAAAGTAGTTTCATTCTCCAACACGAGATCAAACAGTCGAGAGTTGGTATTCGTTACGGAGTTGATTTGCGTTAAGCCCTGCAGATTTAAATCGTTCAGAAGAGCACAGCTGGAGGCTGGCATATGTGGGCGTCGTACATCGATGGTTGGGTAATTGTTCGCAGAGGTATTCCAAATCAATCCAGATTGGTTGTAGCCACGAAATAACAGAGCGAGGCCGTTACTATCCAATCGTCAAAGTACAGCATCAATAGAACTGATGTGATTTTCAGTACATACTAAATCCAAGACTAATCACTCTGTCAAGTGTAGTTATCTTTACCCACAGCTGTTCGAGGGTAGGATCAATGCAACAACTGAATCGCTTAGATACTGCAATCAAGACGTCACCACCACGTGATTTGATACTATTATTTCGCTTGTGATCCTTACGGAAGACCGTATATAGACTACCGAATAACTGTGCAGAATGAATTCGGTCATCGAGCCAGGTTTCAGTGAGACCAATAGCGTCGTAACTTGACTCAACAGCGTCAGGAAAAAAAATCGTCAATCTTCGGTCGTAGGCCACGAACCTTCTGGTAATAAACCAAGAGACCATTCGATGGTACAGAATACGGTGGCGGTGAACAGAGTCTGTTTAGCGTTGCTCTGGTACTTGAATATTGCAACGCGACAAAGTATCAGAATTCGATGTTGACTTGTACTTGCCATAGGTGAGAAGACCCTGTCTTCGTTTCCAAACTCAAGGTTATGATGGCGAGAATCAACAACGAGCTCGACTAAGACGGAGCGATAAGGGGATTCCAATGTGCATAGTGCTGAGTGGGCCGGTGATGAATGGAAAGCTGGTGAAGAAGGAACGACTTTGAAGTGACCGAACCTGATCCAAGTGGTCCATGCTGGTATTTGATTCGGAATCGAGAAACTCGTTTTCGGTGGCGCTAGGCTGAAATTGCGACGATATCCTAGAAGCCGAAGAACTATCAACGGACGAACCTAGAACATCTTGTAAATTAATTGTGATTGATGCATAACGAGCTCATCAGCCTGCTTGGACATGATCCGGTGCTGAGGGCAGTGATCTGAGACAGTGGTTGATCTAGTAGAACAACTGAACTGAACTCCAGGCTGATTTGAGCGAACCTAGAACATCTTATGTGGTTGTGAACAAATTGTGACTGATGCATAACAAGCTCATAAACCAGCTTGGACATGTTCCGGTACTAAGGACAGTGATCCGAGACAGTGGTGTAGTGGTTGATCTAGTAAATCAACTGAACTGAACTCCAGAGTGATTTGGGGGAACCTAGAACGTCTTATGCCATTGTAAATGAATTGTGATTGATACATAACCAGTTCATAAGCCTTCTAGAACATGTTACGGTGCTGGAGACAGTGATCTGCGACGGTGGTGGAGTGGTTGACCTAGTAGATCTACTGATCTGAACTCCAGGATGATTCTAGCGAACCTAGAACATCTTTTGCGGTTGCAAATGAATTGTGATTGATGCATAACGTGTCCATAAGCCTGCTTGGACATGTTGTTCAGGTGCTGGGGACAGTGATCTGAGACAGTGGTGGAATGATCGATCTAGTAGATCAGCTGATCTGAACTCCAGGGTGATTCGGGCGGACCTAGAACGTCTTATGTCGTTGTAAATGAATTGTGATTGATGCATAACAAGCTCATAAGCCTTCTTGAACATGTTACGGTGCTGGGGACAGTGATCTGCGATGGTGGTGGGGTGGTTGATCTAGTAGATCAACTGATCTGAACTCCAGGATGATTCTGGCGAACCTAGAACATCTTTTGCGGTTGCAAATGAATTGTGATTGCTACATAACCAGCTCATAAATCTGTTTGGACATGTTCTGGTGCTGGGGACAGTGATCTGAGATAGTGATGAAGTGGCTGATCTAGTAGATCTACTACTTATGTGATTGTAAATGAATTGTGATTGATGCATAATGAGCTTATAAGCCTGCTTGGACATGTTCCGGTGCTTGACACAGTGATCCGATCAGTGGTGGAGTGCTTGATCTAGTAGATCAACTGCTCCGAATTCCAGCGTGATTCAGGCGGACCTAGAACGTCTTATGTCGTTGTAAATTAATTGTGATTGATGCATAACAAGCTCATAAGCCTGTTTGGACATGTTCCGGTCCTGGAAAGTGGGGGAGTGGTTGATCTAGTAGATCTAGTAGATCTAGTAGATCTACTGATCTGAGCTCCAGGGTGATTAGAGGTTTTTAGAGATCTTAAGGATGGTTCCAATAATTTCATGGATGTACCAGAAACTTGAAAAAGGTCCACAATTTCGGGTAAGTTTAAACAATTTCAAGAACCCAGGGTCCATTTTTCAGCCATAAGCCAAATTGGTTCTGAAAAGACATTTACAAGCATTTTCGAAAAAAAATCGCAGCGCTCTAGGATGAGTATCAAGAATTGACCACTTCTACGGTTGTTCCGAATTTTCCAGAGGATCACACTGTGGTTTACAGGGTCCATATTTCAGTTACAAGTCCAAATTTAGTCTGATAGTACATTTAGAAGCATTTTTCAAAAGATCATGGAGTTCAGTTTTACAAAATGACTACGTTTACGGATGTTCCGGATCTTCCAGAAGATCACTCTGTGCCCATTCAGGGTTAATATTTCAGTCATAAGTCCAAATTTGGTCTGATAAGACATCTACAAGCATTTTACCAAAAATCGCAGCGCTCTAGGATGAGTATCCACTTTCAAGGTTGTTCTGGATTTTCCAGAGGTTCCCAGGGTGCATATTCCAGTCACAAGTAAGTCACAAATTTAGTCTGATAGCACATTTACAAGCATTTAAAAAAAAAGTGGAGCTCTAGTTTCAGTTATACGAATTGACTACTTTTACGGATGTTCCGGATCCTCCAGAGGACCACTCTGTGGTAACTCAGTGTCCATATTCCAGTCATAAGCCCAGATTTGTTCTGAAAAGACATCTACAAGCACTTTCCAAAGACATCGCAGCGATGAGTATAAAGAAAGAACCACTTTTACGGTTGTTCCGGATCATCAAGAGGACCACTCTATGGTTCCCAGGTCCATATTTCAGTCACAAGTCTAAATTTAGTCTGATAACACATTTAGAAGCATTTTTCAAAAAACCTTGGAGCTCTACGTTCAGTTTTACGAATTGACCACTTTTACGGATGTTCCATTCCGGTCCGATGTTCTTCTGGAAAGCTATAGGAATACGTCATGACCAAATCTACAAATATAGGAATCTTGAACTGAGTTTTATGTAGGCGAATTAAATAGTTTCCCTAAAAATCGTGTAATTACGAGCAATTAAATAAAGTGAAAATGGAAGATGGTCTGTTTTTCACCTTTCTGACCCAGGTAACCACCGGTGAAGATCCGGCCTGGTGGCCTGAAACAACTTGACCATATATTTTTTCCATAAACAATGTACTTGAGCGAGTGAGTGTTCAAAATGTCATAAAATTTGGATCAGGTGTGTTTTTGGCATTTGGAATTTTTACCTGATATTTTACGGGATAACTACTGTAAAATTTCGAGAACCCTTAAGAAGTTCCAGGAGTTTCAGAAAAGTCCAGAGACTCCAGAAAATATCTGTAAAATCACGGAAACTTCACAGAATTCTAGAGAATTTTAGGGATGTTTAAAAATGTTCAGGACAGTTTCAAAACCTTCAGGAGATGGGAAGCACCTCAAGGGAATCTCAGGTCACATCAAAGAACTTTAGGGCACCTCAATTATTTTCAAAAAAAAAATTGCTGGAACTTTAAACTTCAACTAAGTTCCGAGAGGTTCATTAAATATATGGAAACGTTCGGGAAGTTACATGATCATCAGTAAAATGTGAGAACATATTAAGGGAAGTTTCGTGGTTTTAGTGGTTGATAACTGAAGAAAACGGTGGGATTTCAGCGAATATTAGAGGTCATCAAGACAGTTCCATTGATTTCAAGAAAATTTGGGAAAAATTTAAAGAAGTTCAGAAATCTCCAAAAATAAAATCCAAAGGATTTCAAAGAAGATCAGAGATTTTTTAAATTATATTTAGGGAAGTTCCGAGTACTTCGAGAATGATCAGAGAACTTTAGAGCAGTCCCATTAACTTCTGGTAAATGTCAACTTTCATGGAGTTCCGAGGAATTATGGGATATTCCGAGAATTTTCGGAATGCTCGGAAAACTGTTGTATGACTATCAGGATAATTTCCGGAACATTAGACAATTTAGCACAATACAGGGAATTCCATAGAAGTTCGGGGTGATTAGGAGAAAGTTGCGCGAGCTTCAAAGAATTTTTCAAAACTTATAGAAAATTATGAGAACTTCAAGGAAGATCTTCGAATTTCACTGCAATCCCATTAATTTCAGAAGAGTAGTGGGATCGTTTATAAACTGAAAACTAGCAAAGCCTCGAACATTTTAAGGAAGTTCAGAGATATTTCACGCAATTTGATTAACACCAGGAATACACGTAAAACATTAGGAAAGTCTAGACTTTTGGTAAAGTTCTAAGATGTTTAAGAATTAGTTCGATAATTTATGAACAGTTCCATAAACATCAGGAAAATTTAGGGAACTTCATTGAAAATCTAAGAACTACATAAATTATTTCGTTTTAATTTCATGAAAATTAAGGGAACCTTAAAGAAGTTATATAAATTTGAGGGAAGTTCAAAGAACTCCTTGGAAATTAGGAGTTTTCAAGGAATCTTTGAAGACTTTACATGAGTTCAGGAAACATCAGGAAAACTTCGAGAACTTCATAGAAGTCTAGAAAATTTTAAGGGAGACCCTAGAATTTCTGATAAACTCCGAGAACTCCAAATATCTTCCATGAACATTAGAAAAATGCAGGAACATTTAAAAAAAGTTCCGTAAGCTTCATGGCAGTCCGAAAAACTTCAGAGATGTGAAATTAAAAATTTCAAAGATGTGAAATTAAATTTTTGAGAGGACCACCGAAGTTCAGTGGTTATCAATGAAACTTAGGGATTCTTAGGACTATTCTATAAACTTCAGGGCAGTACCAAGAGCATTAGGAGAATTAAAAAAGAGAAGCTCCGAAAATTTCAGGGAAGTTCAGAGACGCTTAGGGCAGTTCCTTTAGCTTCAGGGGAATTCAGGAAGCTCAGGAAATTCAAAATATTTTTTTCATGATCATAACTACTCGGAGTTTCCAAATCTTGGAACAAACCTCAAACCAGTTCCTTTTACTTCAGGAAGTTTGTGAACACTTTTAGAAGTTCTAAGGGCTTCATAAAAGTACAGTGAAGTTCAGGGAAGTCAAGAGAATCTCGAGAAAATCCAGATTAATTCACAAAACTTCCGAGAACTTCAAGAAAATTCCACGATTTTTAGGACCTCTATTTTTGCTTTGCCTTAAGTTTAATATCTGACTGCAGAAAATAACAGTCACGTTCCCAGTTACCCCGTCTGATACATCTGTTGGAGATTCTTATTCTCGCTTAAATGAATGGCGTCTATTGTCTGTGTTGTTGATTTGCCCCACAAACCCTTTCCCCACAAGTAACCTAATAACGAACTCTAACCATCATAACCTCATTCTTCCATTCCAGAGCCCAGTGCAGCCCGTCCCAAGGCCCATGCTGTACGCTGGAGTGTACGCTGAAGCTCGGTGACAAGTGCCGCGATGACAACGGGTGCCGCGATCCGGCCTATTGCGACGGCACCATGCCGCTGTGCCCGCTGTCCATCAACAAACCGAACAAGACGATCTGCAACAAGGAGTACGTGTGCTACATGGGTGAATGTACCGGATCGATCTGCCTGGCCTACGGTCTGGAGTCCTGCCAGTGTGTCGTCGGGCCCGAAGATCCGGCGGCTCGAGCCTGCGAACTGTGCTGCAAGCAACCGGGCGAAGACAAGCCTTGTCTGAGTTCGTTCAACTGGAATGATCCACCATTCGACGTTCCGGATATGTACGCCAAACCGGGAACTCCGTGCAACGATTACAACGGCTACTGTGACGTGTCGCAAAAGTGCCGAGAGGTAGATCCGTCCGGACCGCTGGCCACGCTGCGGAAACTGCTCCTGTCGGAAGAGAGCATAGCCAGCTTCAAGAAGTGGGTTATCTCCAACTGGTACGCCGTTGCCTTGATAGCGGTGGTCATCCTTGCGCTACTGGTAAGTACCGTAGAATACGGATTTCCAACACAAATTCAGTTTATTTCGTTCTGTTTACCGTCGGTTCTCAGAAGATTCGCCATTCTCTACGGAATTGGGAAGACATTCCTTTGGATATTGAGAGTTATCGTGAGTGTTAAAGGCTACCCAACTGTTTTCGAAGGCTTCCCAGTAAATCTACCGTCGCTAGTTTTATTTTCGCTAGATATCCATTGCTGTTCCCCAAAACTTGTAGCCATTCACTAACGGTCGCTATTTCTCTCTTCCCTAACAGATTCTGAGTGCAAAACTGCTGGGCAGACGGACGAATCTGAAGCTCAAAACGGTCACCATAATCCACAGTGCGACGACGGAAACGGTCCGGCTACCGGAGGACAACAACGGAGTGATAGTGCACACGGCCGTCCGCACCAAGGTGCCGCTGAGAAAGAAAGTCCGCGGCGAGCGGTCCAAGTCCAAAACGGGTCCACTCCCACCGGGTCAATCCGTTCCGAAGCAGCTACTCGCAACAGCCACCGGTCCCGGCGGGGTAGTGACCACCACAGCAGCGGCAGCCGGAAACACAACCACGCTGATTCCATCGACCTCCAAGGACCGGTTCCATCTGTCCAGGTCATCAACGAGCAACCCCGCCACGGTAGTCATAAAGCAAGTCAAACGGCATGTCGGTAAAACGACCACCACCACCACCGCCGCCAACAGCGACAGTCCAAAGAAGCTCATCAAAAAGAAAAAGAAACGCTCCACCGCCACTCCCGGGGGTCCTTCGGATGAATCCCCGGTTAAGGAACCCATCACCAAGCAAAAGAAGAAAAAGACCAAATCGAAGCATAAGGAAGTGATCGACTACTCGTCCAGGAGCGACGCCCATAGTCATACCAATACATTCGGAAAAGTGCACCGATGGCTTCTGGAGTCGCAGATCGTAACGAACGCAACCAATCAGTTCGAGCACGCGTCCAAAGTCACCAACATGATGAACAAGAGCCTCTCAACCCCGGAACATCTGACGAGTACGACTGCGGCCGTAGTTTCCCAGCAACAGCCTCGGTCACCGAAGAAGACCCGCGTGAAGACCAAATCCGTCGGTAACATCAATGAAAAGGTTCGCCTGCAAGTCGTATACAAACCACCCTTCAAGTTCAGCCTGAAACTGTCCAAAAACGAACCCTCTGTCAAGACCCACATCGTGGCTGGTCCTGTGGGTAAGCGAAAGGGTCGAATGGTGGACAGGAAACGCGTCGCCGCTGCCATCCAATCCGAAACGCAACGGGGAAGAGCGGCCATTTTAGTGCGACCGGTGGTCACCCCCGACGAAGCCGTGAGTCCACTCTCGGAACCAAACTACGAAACCCTCAACCCACGCAACCCGCCCGAGGCACCGCCGTCCCCATCGTCGGAAACGCACGTCTACGAGAACGTGACGTTCAACAGTGGCGGCGGTAGTGGTTCCGGTCCAACCGAACTGCCAAACTCAGTGCCTCCCCCCATCAATACAGCCACCTTCCGCATTAACCGTAGTGCTAGTGGTAGTAACATAGTAAACCACCCCTCCGGTTCCCACTTCCGGAATCCATCGATAACCTCGGTGAGCCAAATCCGGCCCACCTCCTCCGGGCTGCGGGGCAGCTCGTCGAATCTCGCCACCGCCGGAGGTAGTCATAGCAATAGCAATAGCCGGGAACGGGACAAACACCGTCGCTCTTACGGTGGAGCGATCGGTGGCGAAAGCACCGAAAGTCTAATACGTTCCAGTACAACGAATCTGGCCAAGTCGGCAAGCAGCAAACGGCGATCCAGTTCGACAAGCTTGCACCAGCGGCACTCCGGTTCGACGTCAAATCTGCACTCGATGAAACGGCACTCCGGTTCGTCGAGTCAGTACCTGAACCAGGAACCGCCACCGTCGTTGTCGTCGCCGCATGAAGTGCCCCTCGGTCGGCGGCATAGTACCAGCGTCAGGCCAGTAGATAGCGGCACCGGTGGTAGCAATAACAGTAGTAACAGCATGAAGAAGCAGAAAATTTCCCGAACATCTAGTAGTACGAATCTGACGCAACGGCGCAGTAGTATAGGTAGTAGGCAAGCGTCCGCCGACCGGCACCTGTCGCGGCAGACGTCGTTGAATGTGAATCTGCCGCACAAGGGAACGGTGGCGGTGGATCGAAGGCCGCACACGTCCTCGTGCGATGACCGGCAGCAGGCGGCCACATTCGACTGGCCGACTGCTGGGCTGGTGCTGCCAAAGAAGCGAAACGACGATCCACTGCCGTCGGATTTGGAGGTTATGGTGTCGGATGCGGAGAATCTGGTGGGCGACAGATAACAACCCTTCGGATTCTGGCCGGGTGCCGGTGCTAGAGAATAGTTAGAGTTCTTCGTGTTCATATCGATTTTAAACGGCCGGACGGAAATGAGAGGGAGGAGCTGATTTTAACCAAGGTCCTTTCCGGGTCCGGATCCGGATCCGGAGTTTAGGTTCGTTTTTTTCTTTTATCAAGTGCCAATGTTAGGTGAAGAAGAAAGAGTGGAAGGGGAAGACGTGTGTGGGTGAGAAACATCAACATCAGCTTGCTTTCTTCGGGTATGTTTTAGTTTGGGAAAGATGGTTTGTATTAAGTGGAGTTGGTAGAGATTTAGACGTGCAGCTGCAGGTGGGCTGCAATAGAAGAATGTTCACGAATGGCAGCATATCAGGAAGGATACTTGGAGGGGGGGGGGGTGTAGGATATCTAGAACAGTTGGTAGGTAGTTGAAAGCTAGTTTGACTCGGTTTTGTCAAGTTGATTCGGTTGTCGGTTTGTCGATTCTGTGGTGCAATTAGAAATTTTGAAAGAGAGAGTTTTCAAACAATGAAGTAATTTATATTTGCAGCGATCAGTGCTCACCTTAGTTTACGTCACCTTTTTAGCTTGAAGATCAAGTCATGTGAAATCTTATGTTGAATTTGGCAACCTTAAGGAGCCTGGTAAGTCAATTTAAGAAAACTTCGGATCGTCCTCCATGAAAAGTTTATCAACACTGGTGACGAGCAGAAATCTCCACAGGAACCGTGCACAACCTCCTACACCGAAAACGCGAGAAAATTCCGTTGAAACTTACTGGAACCTCCGTTGGCAGCACCGAAATTGCACCGAACCCTCTCCACCGTGAACATGTGAAAACCCCAGTCGAAACTCCCCGGAACCTCCGCTGGTAACATAAAAATTCTCCAACGAAGTCGTGCAGAAGCTCCGTATGGAATTTTCATTGCCAACATCGAAAACCTCCACCGCAATCACGCCAAACCTGCTCCACCGAGAACGCGGCAAAACTCTGTCAAAGTTCCGTGGAATCTCCACCGAAATCTTGCGGAAACGCCCTGGAACCTCCGCTTGCAGAATCGGAAACCTACACCGAAACCGTGTGGAACTTCGCCCGCCAAGAGCGTAAGAAAACGCCATCGAAATTTCCTAGAATCTTCGTTGGCAGCATCTAGAATTGTCCCCGACATCATGCAGAACCTCGTCCGCTGAGGAGGCAAGAAATATCCGTATAAACTTCCTGGAGCTCCCACTGGCAGTATCTAAATTCCTACTGAAATCGTGCAGAACCTCCTTTGTCGAGGACACGAAAAATTTACTGGAACGTCCATTTGCAGCATCTTAAATCGCAACCGATATCGTGCGGAACGCCGTCCGCCTAGAACGCGAGAAAATTCCGTCGACACTTCCGTTGGCAGCATCAAAACTCTGTTTATCGCGCAGAACCTCCTTCGCGGATAATGCGTGGAAGCTGCCTGGGAACTTCCATTGGCAGCATCTGAATACTCTGCCCAACCGAAATCGTGCGGGACGATGATTTAGGCTCTGAACCATTTACCATTTTGGACAGTGAGCATGCATAATCCCCCTTATTCTGCGAGTCACGTGACTCTCTGTCACCGGTGAGGTGACTATTGTCACCTCACCGGTGAGAGAGAGTCACGTGACTCGCAGAATCGAGGGGAATGGCGTAAACGCGATGATCGATTCTCTTCGTCGATTTCCTCTTTTGTTAATAACTCGCTAGATTTAACGTTTCTCGGTGCGTTTGCTGTAGATTTTGATAGCCAATATTTACAACCTGTTACAACTTTGCATTGAACATATTCTAGAAAATTGTTTCGTAGCAATTCAAAGAGAAAATCGATGAAGAGAATAGATCATCGCATATACGCCCTTATGCATGCTTACTGTCGATTTGGTGGATTTTTAAGCTTTTGGTTAAAATTTGACCAATTTGACAGATGGAAAGTGATCGATTAAGGCTGTTTTCCATTTGGTGATTTTTCACTTAAATTTGACAGATGGAAAATTTTCAAATAATCCTGCTGTCAGACTTATTTCTGACATACCTGGTATCAATTTTGACACCTTTTCGAAAATCGGACGATCAACAACAAGGGGATTTTCAAACATTATAATTTATTTTCGAAGTGTCAAATTTAAGTGAAAATTTACCAAATGAAACACAGCTTAAAGGCCCAAAAAATCAAACGGAAAGTTTGACAGTTGTCACAAATGACATAACGATGCATAACCGCTGTCGATTTGATTCTAACCAGTTTTCAATCCGACAAGTAGGCTTACTCAGATCGTTCCGCTTCCGCTGTCATTCCGATTGGGCCTTAAGGGTACAACCAGGGTAGACGCGATTCGCGACGTGACGCGCGGCGGCCAATTCAAAAGAATCTTATTATTTATTATTATTCCTTGCGTGAGTCGTATCGCGTCGCGTGTCGCGTCTACCCTGGCCGCGGCCTAAGGTTCCGAGCCATTTGGGTTATTTTTTTTCAACTTTTGGATAAAATTTGAGCGATGGAAAGTTATCGATTACCCCTGCTATCCGAGCATGGTTATTTCTGACAGACAAGAAGTTAAATGTTGACAACCGTGGCTCGAAATCCGGTCGATCGATAGCACGGGGATTTTCGAACATAGAAAATAACTTTCGAAATGTCACTTTTAACCACGAGTCAGCAGATGGTTCACAGCCTAACCCTGATATCCGAGTGTGGTTATTTCAGACAGACAATAAGTTAAATTTTGACAACCGTGGCTGAGTTCTGCGCGAAAACCGATCAATCGGTAGCACAGGGATTTTCGAACATAAGAAATAACTTTCGAAATGTCACTTTTAACCACGAGTTAAAGTCTTTCCCTGTTTTGTTTGCTTAGGTATAGGTGTCAAAATGCGCCTGCTATGTTTTGACGTTGACATCCCACTGAATGGTTGATGCAACCTATAGAATTGAAGGCTGTGTTCCATTTGGTGAATTTTTACTTAAATTTGACTGATGGAAATTTTTTAAATAATGCTGCTAATTGTACTGGACTTATTTCTGACAGAGCAGGTATCAATTTTGACAGAAACCTCTTCGAAAATCGGATGACCAACAACAGGGGGATTTTCGAACATTATAATTTATTTTCTAAGTGTCAAATTTTAGTGAAAATTCACCAAATGGAACACAGCCTAAGGCCATGCTGTCCGTCGGTGATTGGCACTAGATTGCGAAACAGAGACCGAAGTTAAATAAAGGGATGGAAAAAAAAAGGCCATGCTGTGTCCAAGGGGTTGGTTACTTCGCACAGTGTGCCAAAAAACAACTTGGGCACACTCATTGGCACTTTTTGGCACCCATGGTGTGAAATTTTCACAATATATAAAGTTACTTACAACACTGGACTATCTCTGCGCCTACTCAGTTAAATTGATTCATTGTTGTTGATTTATACATTTTTGAGAATCGCAACCGTGAAGTCCGAAATTGGATTCCCTCCTAGCGCAGATCCTATTGCCCAGGCGCAAGAAGTTGTGGCCGACGATAGCGACGCCTAGGAATCGAAAGAGGAATGCCTGGAACAGAAATAGTCAAACAGTTGGAAAATGCTTCTGATTGACCGAGCTTCTCCTGGTTGTTCTTCCAAACTTCCTCAGGAATCTAGCTCTCATAGTCGGCTGCTTCCATGAAATTCTACAACGTGTCCTTGGTGGCATCGTTGCTGCACAGGACGAACGCTTCTGTCTTCATCTTGATCGACAAGTTGTAACCGCTTCGGGACGACCGCAGTTGCATGATTACAGTTCCGGGTAGGGGGCCACGCGAATACTGGCTACCTACTCCACTTTGGCACACGGCAACCGGTAGTACAGCTCCTTAGTGATAAAATAGATGCAGGGCGATAGTGAAGAGGTTTTCGGATGGGCAATCAAAGGAAAAACTCACGGATTGATAGAGAGAAAATAAAAACAACGTGTATTCACTTGGTTTGATTTGGTTGTAATAAAAACGGAAATGCAACTGTCAAAACGGCCGCAGCCGAAAATACCCCAGTGGTGTGGAAAAACAGTGGGGGCACATTGAGTGCAGTGGTTGCCATCTCAACACCCCTGCTCAAGCACAGCACGTCTCCAATCCTAGCTTGGACCGAAGAACTTTGAAGATAGCTGCACGCAGAAAAAAACATAGTTCAACCAAACAAAATCCGTTTCATTTTTAACAAAATTTTGAATAGAATATAGATCAATAAAATTGATGGAGTAATTCAACAAAACATTGAGTTGAAATAATACTTCAATGTTTATTGAATGGAACATCTGTTTTTATTGATTCAAAAAAATGTTTGCTTGCATCAACTTGAAGCATTATTTAAAGTAATTAACGTTTTTAGTTAGCTTGAAACATTATTTTTATTGTTTCAGAATCAAATTTATTTAAATCCCCAGGTTAGGTTAGCTAGTCTTTATTGAAAAATGAAGCAATATTTTTTATTTATTTATTTATTTAATTATTTATCAATTAGCCTATTCCGGTGCACCATTTGCTGCGTGAATGAGTTGTAGAACGTGTTGTCCTTGTGTGTCTTGATGTGCACCAGGATGTCGATTTATGTGCACCATGATGTTATTGTTGGTGGTAATTTTGAAGCGATTCTGCTGCTAACTCGGCTGCCACTGAGCTGCTGATGGTGACGATGCTGCTTCAACAAGGAATGGTTCTGTTGAATCTCCGGAATCAGACGTAGGTTGAAGTTGGCTAGATTCTGTTCCTCGCAGTTCGGTGAGACACAGGAGGTACTGCATATGCAGCGCCAAAGAATGAATCCGTCGATGTCAGTGTAGCCTTATTTCGCCCTGTCGCACGTCAGCGCTGAAATTGTAAATGCAAGTTAATCGAGAAACTTTATTAATCGACATTATATTTAAAACTACTTACTTTCGAAGATCAAAGTTTAAAGGCAGCTTTTCCATAAGGAGGAACTTTTTAACTATAAACAGCAACGATGTCGATATAGACTGACAGTTTGAAACGTGCACTTAAAAATTATTTAGTTATAACAATGAAAACAGTTTTAAACAATTTTATTGGTTTGATTTAAATGAACTTCTGCATTCATTTGAATCTTTTTAGTGAACTGAAGCAAATATAAATTTCGTATTAAATAATAACAAAATATTTTGTTAATTTACGCCTCAGTGTTTTTTCTGCGTGTAATCATAAGGTCTGCCTGTTGCTCTGCCGATCGCACGAACTTGATTTCGATCTTACCTTGTTGTACCAACTCACACAGGAAGTGGAACTTGGTATCGACGTGTTTCAGCCGCTTGTAGTCCTTAGAATCCTCGGCGATCTTGATCGTGGACTGGTTGTCCTCATAGATTGGGACAGCTCCGTTCAACGGCTTCCCCAAATCTGCCAGCAACCGCATCATCCACATGGTGTGACACGCAGCTGTGCATAACGCCGCTAGCTCCGCCTCCGTCGATGACAATGATACGGTCTGCTGTTTCCTCGTAAGCCAACTGACGGTACTCCCATACAGCTTCATCACGCAGCCGGAAACCGAACGGCGATTATTCGGATCGTTCGCCCAGTTCGCGTCACAGAAGACTTGCAGCAACGGTACATTTTCTTCCACCTT